GCAACTGGCATACGGTTTAATGTGAAGACAACAACAACAACAATCGATGGTCGGCATTTGAGCTCTGGTCAGGGAAGCAGCTTTGCACACTCAGTTTGATCCCCCCCGCAAGCCTCATATGTGCTCGGAGGAGCCGGCACTCGGATCCCTGCCACGGGCGGTACCACATAATATAGACTATTGCACTCTCCGATAAGACTTGAGGCAAGGCGGGAAGGCGGTATCGATTTTCGTGCAAAGCTGCTCTCCCACCTTGCTTGACGTTGTGGTTGACACCAACCTCTTTCGCTGGTTATCTCGACCCAGGTGGGTACAACTCGGATAGCGTGTGTGCCTTTCGTCGTGTACCTGTTAAGATCCACCACACTCAACACAAAGGTGACTGTATAGACTATGTACAGTGACTACTACTGCTGCTGTTGCTCTTCACGACCGATGCTCGACAACATGGCTACGACACGCTCCAAATGTCTCAACAACATTCTTCGAATCGCACCGTCTAAGAAAACAGGGAAGAAGTGCCTCTACTTGCTGCTGCTACTGCTGCCTTGGTAACCGCCGTCCGTTTTTACCTCGCTGTTCCATTACACACAAGAAGGATTGAACTTCAATTGGTACAAACGAACTGCTAGCACCTTCCTATCTGCTACTACAGCAGTATGTATCCCCACTTCCCTCAAACGCGCCTAACCTACGTACATGTGTAGACTACATGTAGTGAAAACTCATCGCACATCTAGTATATGTAATCAATGTCACTTTCAAGTATTGTAGATTTCAAGAAGAGTGGGAAACGGCTGCTCCATTCCGCAACTCCTGTTACAGGGGGTGCAGAAGACGAATTTTGATATTGACGATTTTGAAAACAAACGCAAGAGCACCAGAAATTGCGCAACAGACACACCAGACCAGTAGGAAGGCACGGCGAAAAACAGAAATCGTTGATTCTCGCACAGGGCGGCAGTAAAGGTTTCTCAAAACATAAACTTCACGCGTCTACCTCCATAGGCCGAGCTTGAAATCAAGATAAAGTCCACACCATCCTAACTTCAAGTCAAAAGATCCCAAACGGAAGGCGCTCAAACAAGGTCAGTTTTGAAGGTTAGGGTAGGCATTCTATTGCAGCAGTAGAGAACATCATGAAGTGGTGTCGTGCGTGCTGGCACGTTCAGGTTTGCTACTGGATGGAGCTGAAGTATCGAAGGTTGCAGCAGCCTTTGAAAACAGTCCGAAACCTCGGCCGGAACTATGCGGCATCCAACAATTGTCACAGCCATGCTCGCAGCCACCAACCCCAATCTCCTGAACTACGGGCTTACAGCAATAGCTGATGCCACTATTACCTACTGCTGACACCCCTCCGTTCAGGGGTTTCCGTTCCGTGGCGGTGAGCATGGCTGTGACTAATGTTGGATGCCGCTTACGGCCGTTTTAAATGGACCGACTTTTTTGTCAAAAATTTCGACATTTGTCTTTCAAAAACTTGGAACCTGTGTTATTTTAAACGTGTGACGTGGACTTCTGCAACTTGTGTAAAAAAAAATGACGCCGTCCGTGAGTTGTAGCACTCACTTCGAGGCAACACACACGACACAACACAACCCGCGGAAAACACGACATCATGGACACCGACATGGATATCACGACCACCCAGCGTGGCCGGCAGACCAAAACCCCGGCGAAATTCCAGCAGACGGGCTCTCTCGGTGCCGCCGTAGGCGGTGGAGGCTTGCTCTCCAGCAAGATAGTGCTGCTGCCTGGCATCTCGGGGAACACTCATGTTACCACGGGAGGCGCTGCCGCCACCAACACTCTCGAGGGTGGAGCAGGTCGCCGGCGAGGGGTGGCAACCACTGCTCCTACCCCCCCCGGGGAAAAGGAAAAAACAAAGCGGCGGACCGCGAAGCAACAACTGCAAGCCATCATGGCGGACCGCCGTTTTTCGGACGACACAGCAACAGCAGACAGCATCGTCAACGTTGGCAACAGCGAATCTGTAGGCGCGCCGCGCTTTCTACGGTCGGCCATGACTGACACACAACCCTAGCTGACTTTCTACGGTGAGGGGCACTCGATGTGCAGACGCAGCAGCCCTCGCGTGCCTCTGCAAGGGTACTTTGGAAAGTGCTCCAAATACTTTGAGAGGGTTGTCAAAAAGTTGGAACGAAGTGGAGCAAAGTTTTCGCGCCCAACTTCGTTCCAAATATTTTTGAAAAAAATGGACAAACGCCTACATACATGTTCCATTTTTCTGACACTTTCAAAAGTTTTGACAAAAAGTCGGTCCGTTTAAAACGGCCCTAAGATGAGGGTCACGAATAGTGCTCTAAGTTGGCGTGCCACTTGGAAAGATGCTGCTTCTTCCATGCAAGTGGTGTATTCCTCGTCACCAGTCACTAATCCTCTCGCTCTCGCCGCGTCATGGAAGGTCGCATGTTGAAATGGAGTGGAGTCAGGTTGAGGCACCAGAACCAGGTCGTTGAAAAATCTTCCCGGAATTGTGTGCAACAGTAGACGCAGGTAAAATAAGTCCCCAATCGCAGGGCTCTGGAAGACGATTCGACACACACACGTGCTGGTCATTCTCAGATCTACATGATATTATATTGCCGTAGTAGTCTAAGAACCTCCCAGGAGGTGCGGATGTGGGCTTTTCTTGTCCCTTTTTGGGTTTGGTAACGGTGGTTTTTTCGTAGTAGTCTATATATAATAGTAGCGTCTGCGGTGTGAAGACTTCGTCAGTCGGCCTTTTGAAGTAAATCATTAGAGCAGAAGGAGAATCTTCGGCAATTTGAAGGCGCTGCTCTGGGGAAGCATCGTCCGGGTATGTGACGTACTGGTAGCCTTCTAAGTGCGCGTGCACCTTTGTAACTGCAGGAAATCTACTGACCATTTGAAATCCTAGCAATCTTCATGTAGCTTCGGCAGCAGAAATGTATCGAGTTTTACGGTATTGCTCTATCTCGCTGGTAATACCTTGGATTCTAGCTTTGGCATAATCGGTGACTTTGTGTACGTATTTGAACAGACAGGTATTTTACGCACGAGGTAGCAGTCACAACGTCCACACATATGTGACAATCAAACATCAATAATAAGTACGGGTTGTAGGGAACGAACCACTCGTTTCCGATCTTTACATCTTGCCATTTACCGTCTATTCTTACGCGTATGGTAGGGCTGTCTCCGTTGTCGGTTCGCTTATACTCCGCAAGCCCTGTCCGGTCGTTGATTGTTGCCGTGCTTCTGAAAGGCTGCGGATAGTGTTTATTGCAGTGTCTGTTGGTGTCGCGGTTGGTCTCCATGCAGGGAGAGTTGACGTTGTTTGGGCGTTCCGTACGGCTTGTGGATCATATACTTTAGTACCTTTTCTCGGAGAATACCGTTTGCAAGTTCGGCACTGGGAAGTTGGGCCCAAACCCATTCGTCAATCTGGTCTAAATGGTCGGGACCACCATTTTTGAAAGGNTGATTGTTGCCGTGCTTCTGAAAGGCTGCGGATAGTGTTTATTGCAGTGTCTGTTGGTGTCGCGGTTGGTCTCCATGCAGGGAGAGTTGACGTTGTTTGGGCGTTCCGTACGGCTTGTGGATCATATACTTTAGTACCTTTTCTCGGAGAATACCGTTTGCAAGTTCGGCACTGGGAAGTTGGGCCCAAACCCATTCGTCAATCTGGTCTAAATGGTCGGGACCACCATTTTTGAAAGGCATGAGGATGTGTGCGTGTGGATATCCCCTTTTTTGAAACTCGATTACACTTAAATGGCTGTCATATTCGCCAAAGACTCTTCCGCTCTTTAATTCTTTCATCAAGGCACTTAACTTCAACTTAAAAACCCGGCAACATATATCTGGACGGTCACTTGCGCTTTGCCCGTTCAAGAGGTTATCTTTCACCTCCTTCCAACCAGCGTTGAACGTCAAGGTAATGAATAAGCGAGGCTTTCCCCTTCTGTTGACAATAGCCAATGCATCTTCTGTATGTATCAGACTTGCGTTTGCTCAAGGATCCTGGGTGAAGCAGCTTTCCCGGCTGTGATTCTGAGGAACTTTGTCGAATGGATCGATCTGTGGCGAGTCCGCGTTGTAAAGGGCCGTGTTCAACAAAAGCTAAACGTTCTTCCTCCATTCTACTCAGCGAGTCGCAAGCCCATTCTTGAGTAGTGCGACAGTTTCGTTTAAAAATCGGTTGGCAAAGCAGACGTTGCCGGCAATAGAAGGGGAAAGTAACATGCGCGTCATTTGTCTTGTTCATCGTTATTGATTTATGTAGAGAGTCTTCGTCTGGGTGTCCTTTACTCCATCCTGCCTCTCCGTGCAGCATCAACATTGGAAACTGAAGAGTTTCGTAAGTGGCACTGCAAAGTGGCAGGAATCTTCGTTTGTTGTCAGGACTGTTTCTTGGGAATGTCACTACTGGGCGAGGTCCGTTGTTCTGTGTGTTTGAGTTGTATACCAACGTAGCAATCTCTGAGGCTGATACGGCGTCACCCACAACTGGCCCGTCATTTGCACGACTCACTTGAGCAAACTCTATGTACGGTGTGTTGGCATTGTCGGCGGATGTGAGATTAAGATGCTTACGGCTGAACGGTATTGTGTCGCCCATGGAATATTGGTGTTGACGTGTTGGCGCAGAGTGAATTTATTCGAAGTTTGATTGTCAAGGTGTTGGGATGCTGATTGGGAATTGAATTCTGAGTCGTAGATATAAAATCTGGCGTTCTTTGTAACGTTCATGTCGGTGTACTGCTCCTGCAAGTCAAATAGGCTGTGGTACGCTCTTCCGTGGAGGGTCAACATGGACGGAGCAGGAGGTTGAGTCCAACTACGCTTTTCAATTCCCCCTGCACCTAATCCGGTAAATGCAAACAAGACTATTATATCGTCTTTGTGCTGAACGGAATCTGGCCGAACCAAAAACTGTAGACTAGTCTAGACTAAGTAGATTATGGGAAGGAATCGGACGAAGACGCGGCATGGCAGATCGGCCGCTTTTTACAGCAGTTGTTATACGTGTGCTTTTCTTCGTTCCATGAAATGGCGTCGCAGTGCTTACGCACATGATTGTCGTCGTGCTCGAGGAAAGGTTGGTTGAACTGGTGTGAGGATGCAGGGTAACTAGGGTGAAGACAGCAGTTGAAAGGCTGTATGCCATAAGATAGGGCGTTGTTATCGGCATTGTTGCTGTCGCCATCATTAGAGTAAACCAGGGTATTAACGAACACCCCCCCTTTAACGAACACTTTTTTCAAATGCACGTCCCTCGGCGCACAATGCGCGGAGCCCCCCAATTTTTTTTTTGAAATCTTCAGCTTTCCGTTAGCTTTCGTTTGAGCACCTCCGCGTGTCGATCGGGTCAAGCACTCCCGAGATACAGCACAGCCCTCACCCACACCCCTTATGTGGGGCATCTTTGCCCTTTTCGGGGTCCTGCTGCTAAGCATGGGACGTAAGAGAGTAGACCCAGAGCAGGCCCAGAAGGCTGTAGATGCGGTACGCAGCGGTGAGATGTCGCTCCGCGTTGCTGCGAGGACCTACGGGTTACCGCTAGCCTCGCTGCACGACCGTGTGAAGAACAAGGTGGCCATAGATGCGAGGGTTGGTCCCGGGACTGTCCTGAGCAAGGAGGAGGAAGATTTCGTAGAAGACGTCTTGATCTACGCCTCCCGACACTTCTTGCTGTTGGGTCGGAGGGAGCTGAGAGACGCTGTGCGCAACATCTGCACCGACGGGCGCAAGGTGCCCTGGGACCCAGACAAGGGCCCTGGGGACAGCTGGCTTGAGGGGTTTATGGCGAGACACCCGGGTTTGTCGGAGCGAGCCACCCACATCTACGAAGCAAACCGGATTAACGAAGACGGCGAGCCTCGCCTTCAAGCTTTCTACAAAGCATGGGCGGAGTACCTGGAGGAGACCAAGCTCCCGCCGGAACGCATCCTCAACACGGATGAGACAAGTGAGTTAGGGCAAGGGTTGAGGTGTCAGTAGGTGTCATTGGGTGTCAGCGGTGTCAGTATCGACTGCTGTGGGTTCGTAGGCGAAGTACCAGCAGCACTGCGATGTGTCACAACAACGCGGAGTTCTGCTGCTGCAAAAAAAAAAGATCCAGCAGTTGTCCCGCATATCTTCCGAGCCGTTGCTGCTTGTCATGCGCGTAGCACACAACACGCCCGCATGTTTGCTGCTGGAGTCGGCTGAGGTTAGCATGTAACAGTCCCTGTGGTCATCTCAGTTGCACTCTGCCGCATGATTGCATGTGTACATCGTTTTCTGTTGTGATGCTACCGGCAACAGCGGGCGTGTGTTCTTGGTCTGCAAAATGCATGTGTGTTGCTGAACGACGCGCGAAGTGCAGACTAGTCTAGTCACGTCGAGACTTCAGTAGAACGCTTTGTTTTTGTAAACCCACCTACGTTTGGAGCTCAATGCAAACTGCCATGGGTGTGGGGTTATTGTTTCGCACCCAAAGTTTAAACGAATCCGACACTTGCCGCACAAAAAATGGCCTTCACCACTGCTGTGTGCCACCACCCGGAGCGAGCAGCACCCATGTGTGTTTGTACGCGCGTTTTTTGTGTGTCTAGTTTACTGATTGTTCAACTGTCTTTACCCCCGATGCGCGCGTGTTGTAGGTTCGACCCCTCAAGGTACAAAGTCGGGGAAGGCAATCGTCGCAAGAGGCACCAAGGTACCCGGCGCGAGGCGTTCCAATTCGCGAGAAAATACGACGGTGGTCGCCACCATCGGTGCCGACGGCCACACGTTCCACCCTACCATCATCTTCAAAGGCCAGCGTATGCAACCCGCTTGGATCCAGGACAACAACGGCGTCCCCGATGCGAAGTACACCGTCACGGAGTCATCCTTCATCCAGAGCCACGTCTTCCTGGACTACCTTCGAGACCTCCGCAAGCAGCTCGATGCGCGCGGCTTGCTGGGCAAAGCTGCCCTTGTGCTCGACGGCCACGCCTCACACACGACCTTCGACGCCATCAGCTTGGGCATCTCCCTGGACATGGACCTATTCCAGCTTCCATCCCACACATCGCACATCACCCAGCCCTTGGACGTCGGTACGTTCGGAACCTTCAAGATGGAGATCACCAAGGTGCTCACGGCCTACCCGCTAAAGAACGGGGGGAGGAGTCCGGTGAAGCGCGACATGGCTGGCGTGATTGCGGAGGCATGGGCAGGGAGCTTCACGCCTGAGAACAACAAGGCGGCGTTCAAAGGGTCGGGCTTGTGGCCGGTGAGCATGGAGAAAGCTATCAACAGACTACACAGCAAGAGGAAGCAACGGGACCATGACCGCCCTATTCGTGAAGACCTCGCCGTGGTTGCCTCTAAGGATCAACTCGAGCGAGACCTCGGCCGCGCTGCCCTCCTGGAGCTGAAAAGACACGGGCTGATGATCGAGGGGCTCCGTGTCAACACCGTGTTCCTTGGCGGGCTCACCCGCCTCACCAAGCGCACCAAGGCTTTCGCGACCGTTCGGGCGGGGGGGGGGAAGCCCGAAGGTGGTCTGCTGTCCGCCGAAGAACATCTTGCTCAGGCCAAGAAGGACCAAGAAGCGAAGCAGGCAGCTGAGGAAGCAAAGGCGGCACGCGCGGAGGCAAGGGCAACGAAGGAGGCCAACCAACAATCTGGAGCAGTTGGTGGGCGGGGCGGCGGGCAGGGCGGCGGGCGGGGCGGCGGGCGGGGCGGCGGGCGGGGCGGCGGGCGAGAGGGGGGGAGAGGTGGAGGGCGCGAGGGTGGGAGAGGTGGAGGGCGGAGCGGGGGGCGTGGCGAAGGACGGGGCGGGGAACAGGACGGAGGGCGGGGAGAGAGGAGCGTGAGGGTTGAGCTAAGCGGGACGCGGACGGCGATCAGGGGGCGCGGTGGCGGTGGGCGAGAGGGGCGTGGCAGAGGACAGGGTGGCCAGGACCGCACCACTGGTGCTCGTGGAGAGCAAATGGGGGCGGGAGGGCGGGGGGGGGACGAGGGGAGAGGTGCTCCCGTCCAAGGAGGAGCGGGACGGCCGAGAGGGGCGGCGGTTCCCTTGGTTCACCCGCCGCCGTCGGCGGCTCCCATTTCTTCCCGAGGACGGCAGCGGATCCCGACACCAATCGTTGATGTTTAGACCAGGGCAGATGCTTTGCGGTTGTTGTTGTTTTTCTGGGCTACTATTGTCTAGGCGGTGGATGAATTAGACTATACGAGTAAAGCAGAAGATTAGGTGGTTTGTGGGGGCATGTGGAGATGGTTAGGGTGCACCCCAGCAGCGCGGGGGGGGCGGGGGGGTTGATACCGGGAAACCCGGGGATATGGTAATTTTGTCCCCGGGCATGCATGATTTTTTTTTTTTTTTTCAACAGCGTTTCTTGTGATAAAACAAACCTACACACCAAAGGGCGTCTTGTGGGAATGTAAGATGACTGTGAAAAAAGGGAAATGGCCTTGGGGTTCTTGCGGAGAATTATAGCGGTAGCGGCCGGGTCAAGGGGTGCCTGTTTGAACGGGCATTACATCACATGCGCGAAGTTTTTCGTCCTAATTTTTTTTTCTTGAGTCTGTATATGAT